CCCCCCCCCCCCCCATTCTTTTCTTTTTACTGTGCTAGCCTCAAAAAAGCGAACGTAGTTCCGTTCTGTGTATTTATGGCAGGGCTAAATGCAGGGGGGTATTTTGTACAGACCTGGTTGACCCATCTCGTCAAAAGGAGGAAGTGAAAAAAAAAGGTGCAGAATCTGGTTGATGCGTTAACACAGCATCCAGCTGTGTGTTTTTACTTTCCCAGTGAAAGTAAGAAGCAGAGATTCTTGTGGTGGAAGCCAACACAGTGCTAGGCTGCATTAACAGAGGGAGAGAATCAAGATCACATGAAGTGTTAATACCACTTTACAAGGCCTTGGTAAGGCCACACGTGGAATACTGCATCCAGTTTTGGTCCCCACGATGTAAAAAAGATGTTGAGACTCTAGAAAGAGGGCAGAGAAGAGCAACAAAGATGATCAGGGGACTGGAGGCTAAAACATATAAGGAACGGTTGCTGGAATTGGGTATGTCTAGTCTAATGAAGAGAAGGACGAGGGGGGACATGATAGCAGTCTTCCAGTATCTCAGGGACTGACCCAAAGAAGAGGGAGTCAAGCTATTCTCCAAGGCGCCTGAAAGCAGGACAAGAAGCAATGGGTGGAAACTGATCAAGGAGAGAAGCAACCTGGAACTAAGGAGAAACTTCATGACAGTTAGAACAATTAACCAGTGGAACTACCTGCCTCCAGAAGTAGTGAATGCTCCAACACTGGAAGTTTTTAAGAAGACAGCCGTTTGTCTGAAATGGTGTAGGGTTCCTGCCTGGGCAGGGGGTTGGACTCGATGACCTCCAAGGTCCCTTCCAACTTTATTATTATTATCATTATTATTATTATTATTATTATTATTATTATTATTATTATTATTATTATTATTATTATTATTATTATTATTATTATTATTATAGTGGAGTGGAGTGGAGTGGAGGAGTGGAGTAGAGTAGAATTACAGAATAGAAGAAAATGGAATAGAATGGAGTGAAGTGGAGTGGAGTAGAGTAGAATAGAAGTGGAATGGAATGGAATGGAATGGAAGTAGAATAGAATAGAATAGAATAGAATAGAATAAAATAGAATAGAATAGAATAGAATAGAATAGAATAGAATAGAATGGAAGTAGAATGGAATGGAATTATTGGAATGGAGAGACTGGACAGCCATTTGTCTGAAATGGTATAGGGTTTCCTGCCTGAGCAGGGGGTTGGACTAGATGACCTCCAAGGTCCCTTCCAACTTTATTTATCCCCTAGTAGTGCTTCCATCTGCTAGGATCCTTGAATACTAACAATATTTAAATCCACATGGGATGATCCCTATCCATCACATCTGGCAAAATTAAGCTCTTCCATTTTGAATGTTGAACTTTTTGCTGGATTCAAGTTCACCGATAAACTGTCTAGACAAAAGCAAGTATACTTGTGGGCTTGGGTTTTACCACAGCCGTCTCACTTCTTGGAAAGTTGTGTGTTCTCCATGTGAACAAGCCAGATATTCCTTGCTGGACTTAAAAAAAAAATAAATCAGCCACATTCAGTTCTTTCTTTTTCGAAACGTCGGATAATGTTTTCGGCGTCTTTCCGGTTTCCTTTGGTTTGTCTGCAATTTCAGAGAGGCAATTTATGCGCTAAGAAATATATCGGCGTAACCCAAATCATCTCCCGGGTCTTCTTCTATAGCACGGCGACCCATAATACGGCTTAAATTGGCATCAGATAACCTACCAGTCTGGTAACTTTAACTCTGCAGCAGATAGCCAGGTAGTAAATATTGAATATTGAATTGAAAATGGGATTGTGATGACTTAACGGTGTGGAGACAAGAAACTTGTCTGACTGGAGATTATGAAAAGAAGGACTAGGGGTGACGTGATAGCAGTCTTCCAATATTTGAGGGGCTGCCACAAAGAAGGGGGGGGGTTCAACTTAATTCCCAAAGCACCAGAAGGCAAGACAAGAAACAACGGATGGAAACTAATCAAGGAGAGAAACAACTTGGAATTAAGGTTCCTGACAGTAAGAACGATCAACCAGTGGAACAACTTATCTCCAGAAGTTGTGGATGCTCCAACACTGGAGGTTTTTAAGAAGGGACTGGACCACCATTTGTCAAAAATGGCAGAGGATCTCCTGCTTGAGCAGGGGGCTGGACTAGAAGACCTCCGAGGTCCCTTCCGACTCCGTTATTCCATTATTCCGTAAGCTTCCTTTTTCCCCTCTTCCTACCAATTTCTCTCCTCTTAACTTGGAACCAAACTTTGCTTCAGGCTGGAATTTTGCTCAGCCACAGAATTGAGGATGCATTGCGGGTGATGTGTCGAAAGGATTCTCCAGGATTTTCCGAGAAGTTGTATGACACGCTTTGCTCGAAATCTCCTCACTTTTCTATTTTCTCGTTCCCTTCATTGGCATCCACTCCACCAGTGGGTTCCCCCCCTTTCTTTGAGGGGGTGAGAATACAGTGAACAGAGGGGTAAGTGTGTTGAAACAGAAGCAAGAAAGGGGAATGTTTTTATTTATTTATAAATATGTGGTCTTAGCAGGGACCTATTTATTGGCGTAGAAAGAGTCGTGGATCTCAGGGGCTTTGACATTCTCCATGTCCAGTCGCTGGTCGTTTTTCCATTTTCTTAAGCTTTATTTTTCTAACAATGGTTTGTAATCCGTGGCTTGATTTGGCAAGTCAGAATCCCTCATCTGTAGCTCTCGTTTAATATCTCAGGGGCTGCCCCAAAGAAGAGGAGGGGGTCAAGCTCTTCTCCAAAGCGCCTGAAGACAGGAGAAGAAGCAACGGGTGGAAACTAAGCAAGGAGAGAAGCAACCTGGAACTAAGGAGAAATTTCCTGACAGTCAGAACAATTAACCAGTGGAAAGAGCTTCCTTCCAGTAGATGTGGGTGCTTTTAAGAAGAGACTGAAAAGATTGCTTGACTGAAATCTTATAGGGTTTCCTCCTTGAGCAGGGGGTTGGACTAGATGACCTCCAAGGTCTCTTCCAACTCGGTTGTTCTGTTATTCTGTCTCTTCACCACTACTTCCTTTTTCCTTCTCATCCTCTATCTCATTCTATCTTGCGAGCTCAAAAGAGGGGACGATCTCCCTGTTGCTTTTCCTTCCTTCCTTCCTTCCTTCCTTCCTTCCTTCCTTCCTTCCTTCCTTCCTTCCTTCCTTCCTTCCTTCCTTTCTTCCTTCCCTCCTTCCTTCTTCCCTCCCTCCCTCCCTCCCTCCTATTCCTTTTCCTTCCTTCCTCCCTCCCTCCTATTCTTTTTCCTTCCTTCTGTCTGTCCGTCCTTTTCTTCTCCTCTGTTCTTTATTCCTCCTTCCTTCCTTCCTTCCTTCCTTCCTTCCTTCCTTCCTTCCTCCCTCCCTCCCTCCCTTCTTCTCCTCTGTTCTTTATTCCTCCTTCCTTCCTTTCTTCTCTGTTCTTTCCTTCCTTCCTCCCTCCCTCCTATTCCTATTCCTTCCTTCCTTCCTCCCTCCCTCCCTTCTTTTCTTCTCCTCTGTTCTTTATTCCTCCTTCCTTCCTTTCTCTGTTCTTTTTCCTTCCTCCCTTCCTCCCTCCCTCCTATTTCTATTCCTTCCTTCCTTCCTCCCTCCCTCCCTTCCTTCTTTTCTTCTCCTCTGTTTTTTATTCCTCCTTCCTTCCTTTCTCCTCTGTTCTTTATCCTCCCTCCCTCCCTCCCTCCCTTCCTGAGACCCTCCTGCAAGCTATAAATGCAGTCATTCAATCAACAAAGCCATCTACTTAAAGCTTTGCACCACTCTTACTTCAGACCCTTATGAGAGACCGGCCAGCAAATTCAAACTTGAAATTCCGCCCAGCTTCTGTTCCTTCACATGGTATTTTCCTCAAATGTAAGAAGCGTGGCTGAATCTTGTCTCCCTCGTGAGCGAAAAAGAAGCACATTAGACGATTTCAGGTGGGACGGTGCCACGCTCTTCCTAATCCTGGTTATCTGGAACAATTGATCGGTTAGAAACGTAGTTCTGGTACAAATCACGTCCAGGGTTCGTCTTCCTTTAGATCAGGGGTAGTCAACCTTGGCTCTTTTATGACTCCTGGACTTCAACTCCCAGAATTCCTGAGCCAGCTTAGCTGGCTCAGGAATTCTGGGAGTTGAAGTCCACGAGTCATAAAAGAGCCAAGGTTGACAACCCCTGCTTTAGATGTTGGAAAGAGACAAATTTGGAGCTAGCGCTGTCAACAGCTGCTGATGGTCAGGCAGGAAAAACCTGGTAACAATGAAGGTCCAATGATGATTTAGTTATAAACAGCCCAAGTACAGGAATCTTCTCAGTTAATGGTTAGCACCTGGTTGGAGTTAGGTAAGGCTCGATGGCTCTCAAGAGGAGTTAGATCAGGGCTTTTCAACCAGTGGTACGGGTACCACCTGTGGTACATTGGCACCTGGCAGGTGGTACGTGACCATCCTAGAAAAGTGGGAGCAGGGGAGGGGAATGAGCTGAACCGGTGGCAGCACCGCACAAGTCTGAGCGAGAGATGGCTGGAGCTGCAGGGATTTCAGGGCTCAGCGGAAGCGCCAGGATCAGTGCCGCTTTCCAGATGATCGGCGCTTCTTCGGGGCTGCCAGGGCTCAGCGGAAGCGCCAGGATCAGCGCCAGACTCCAACTGGAGCTCGGCGCTGATCCTGGCGCTTCTGCTGAGCCCAGAAGAAGCGCCGATCAGCTGGAATGTTGCAGCATCTCCAGGGTCTTGGGATTTACATTCAGATGCTTGGCAACTGATTCATATTTATGACGGTCACAGTGTCCCAGGGTCATGTGAAGTGACCAAAACCTGCTGCAACCACCCAGCAGACGGGGGGGAATAAAAACCAAACACCCCCCCACCCCATCCCCACTGCCAATCCTCAACAGAAATGCTCACAACAATGGAAACGTCAGACAGAAGGAAGAGCGCGGCCGGGTGGGCAGGCAGGTGTCTTGCTCGGCTGTGGCTTGGGGGGCACTTTTTTCAGTGCCGTTGTAACTTCGAACAGTCAGTAAGCGAACTGTTGTAAGTGGAGGACTACCTGTACTTTATCACTTTTTTCCTCTTTTTTTTTGGTCATCAAATTTTTGACACCTTGCTGGTGGTCCTCGGATGTTGCCATATCCTAAAAGTGGTACAATGGGTGAAAAGGTTGAAAAGCCCTGAGTTAGATCACTTGCAGCTACGTAGAGATTCTAGGCTGATCCCTCTTTTAGCACCACCCCCAAGTTCTGCTACTTCTTCTCCTACACCTATTCACGGTTAATAACTCTGAGAGATTTGAGGTTTTGTTTTTCCCCGGGCTGGTGTCTGTCTGGGTCTTTGGGGCTTCGACAAGCATGACTTCAAAGCACTTAGCTGTTTTTCAATAATTTGTTCCAGATGGACCCTCACCGAATGTCCGAAGAGGATACTAACTGTCTACGATCCTTCCTGAGACTTCAGGGAAATGTAGATCTGCCAGAGACCACCTTGGCCAACCAAGAATCAAAACTGCTGTCTGAATCGTGTCGAAGGATGAAGCAGGCTTTTCAGAGAGTAATGCAAAAGGTCAGTCTACTCCAGGGATGCAACAAGTTGGGAAGTTGAGGAAAGTTTCAGGGTTACCTTAGACCAGGGGTCTTCAAACATGGCCCTTTTATGACTTGTGGACTTCAACTCCCAGAATTCTTCAGCCAGGCACGCTGCCTGAGGAATTCTGGGAGTTGAAGGCCACAAGTCACAAAAGGCTCATAGTTCCCTCACGCTGGCTGAGGGATTCTGGGAGTTGAAGGCCACAAGTCATAAAAGAGTCATAGTTCCCTCACGCTGGCTAAGGAATTCTGGGAGTTGAAGTCCACAAATCATAAAAGGGCCAAGTTTGAAGACCCCCGTCCTAAAGTTTCATGTGGATGGTAGATTTTTCATTTTCATTTTTTCATTTTATTAAATTTATACCCCGCCCTTCTCCCGGAGGACTCAGGGCGGCTTACAGCCAGTTTAAAAACAATAATACAATACCATACAAAATTTAAAAATGATTAAAAATAAATATTTGAATAGGCCGCTTCTACTAAAATTTTGGCGAGAGGCCCAAGACTTTGTGTTTAAGAAATAGCACTCCATACATTCTACGTGACGATTGCAAACTGGAACAACTTGCCTCCAGAAGTTGTGAATGCTTCAACACTGGATGTTTTTCAGAAGAGATTGGACAACCATTTGTCTGAAATGGTAGAGGGTCTCCTGCTTGAGCTGGGGGTTAGACTAGAAGACCTCCAAGGTCCCTTCCAACTCTGTTATCCTGTCCTGTCCTCTATTCTATTCTATTCTATTCTATTCTATTCTATTCTATTCTATTCTATTCTATTCTATTCTATTCTATTCTATTCTATTCTATTCTATTCTATTCTATTCCATTCTATTCTATTCTATTCTATTCTATTCTATTCCATTCTATTCCATTCCATTCCATTCCATTCCACTCCACTCCACTCCACTCCACTCTAGTCTACTCTCATGCTAGCTCTGGCAGACCTAGTTCCCTGTTCCATTTAATATAAAAATAAAAGAATACTAGTACTGCTTTATAAAGCCCTAGTAAGGCCACACTTAGAATACTGCATCCAGTTTTGGTCACCCCGATACAAAAAAGATGTTGAGATTTTGGAAAGAGTGCAGAGAAGAGCAACAAAGATGATTAGGAGCCTAGGAGCTATAACATATGACAAACGATTGCAGGAACTGGATATGTCTAGTCTAGTGAAAAGAAGGACCAGAGAGTGACATGATAGCAATCTTCCAATACTTGAAGGGCTGCCACAAAGAAGAGGAGGCGGTCAACGTATTCTCCAAAGCAGCAGAAGGCACGACAAGAAACAGTGGATGGAAACTAATCAAGGCGAGAAGGAACCTGGAATTAAGGAGAAACTTCCTGTGAGGACAATTAACCAGTGGAACAGCTGGCCTTCAGACGTTGTGGATGCTTCATTACTAGAGGCTTTTAAGAAGAGACTGCACAGCCACTTGTCTGAAATGGTCTCCTGCTTGAGCAGGAGGTTGGACTAGAGGACCTCCAAGGTCCCTTCCAGCTCTATTCTGATTGATTGATTGATTGAATCAATGGGATGATTTGCCTCCAGAAGCTATGGGTGCTCCATCACTGGAGGCTTTTAAGAAGAGATTGGACAACCATTTGTCTGAAACGGTATAGGTCTCCTGTGGAAGCAAGGGGTTGGACTAGACGACCTCCAAGGTCCCTTCCAGCTCTGTTACTGTTAGTACTGTCATTAAGAAAAGTCTTCACAGTTTTCTTGAACTAGGAACTAAGAAAACTACATAGTGGTTCCTTGATCCACTATAACCAGAACATCCTCCAGTTGGGAAGATTTCAAGACAGGATGGCTTGAAAGGAGAAGTTCCCCAAAGGTTCTCTCAACTTTTAGAGGCCCCAGATCCAAAGTTGGATACCTCAGCCTTACAAACCACCTTCTTCCTTTTAGCAACCATCTGACCAGATTTGGCAGAAGGAAACTTGGCATCGGCCTCTAACCAAGAGCATCCTGTTTCAGGCGTGATTCTCACCAGCTTTCTCATGAGGTTTCCTGAGAAGAACGCAGGGAGGTTACAGGAAGTAGGGCAACTCAACTTTTGTCTTCCTTCCAAAAAGGCAATATATTCCCAAAGAAGATAAGGCGGAGACACCTTTAATTTCCTGGACTAGAAGACCTCCAAGGTCCCTTCCAGCTATTCCGATTCTGATCCCTTTTAACAGCCTTGGGATTCAATGTTAGGAAACGTGACTTTTGACCGTTTTTCACATTTTAACGACCGTTGCGGCATCGCCGTAGTCCTGCGATCAAAATTTGGGCTCTTGGCGACTCGTATGTGTCCCTAACCCTAACCCTGCTGACAAGCAAAAATCCACGGGGAAGCCAGACTTGTTTAATAACTGGGTTACTAACTGTGGTCGTAAGTCAAGGACCACCTGGATACAGGTCCATTGTTTTCGCCGTCCGGACGTTGCTGAAAACACGGCTTCTCCAGCGGGCCTTCGGATCTCCCACAATATGTGGTGCCCCGCCTTAATTTTAGCTTGGAATTTTCATCCTCGTGTAATTTTTATTTGTAACCCTCCATTGCGATAAACCAGATAGACCTCAGCTCATTTCAGGCAGCTGGATAAATGCGACACCTAAATAAACAAGAAAACGTTGATTTCCACCCAAGGGTGACGTTCTTTAAATCTCCCGTGAAGTTGGTCACCTGATTTACTTTCCTCGCTGAGAGAAGATTTAATGGCGGGTTGTTTAAAAACAACAGTCTTCTAAATCTTTATTTATTCGGGGGAGGGACCAATCCTGACAAAACACAGGTGGTCCTCGGCTTACAACCACAACGGCGCCCAGCATTGATGTCGCTAAGCGAGGAAATTGTTCCTGGAGTTTTGCCCCCTTTGACAAACTTTCTCGATGCAGCTGCTGAGTCAATCGCTGCGGTTGTGAAATCAGTCACACGGTTGTTAAGTGAATCATGGGCGCAAAAGGGGATCACACGCCACCCCGGGAAGCTGCGACCGTCGTAAATATGAAGCAGTTGCCAAGCATCTGAATGTAAATCACCTGATCGTGGGGATGCTGCAATGGCTGTAAGTGTGGAACGTGGTCATAAGTAACATTTTTCACTGTCGTCGTAACTTCGGACAGTCACGAAATGGACCGTTGTAAGTCGAGGATTGCCTGTACAACTTTGTTTAGCCTTTTTCGACATTGAGTGTTCTTGATCACAGCAGATCCTGAAAAACTGGCTAAATTCACAAGAAACTGTCCCCAAATATGGGGCAGGCAATCCATCAACTCAAAGACCTTTAGACCATTTGGTCTCTTACTCATCCCTGCTTGCTTAGCTCTGTTTGTTTAAATCTAATTATGATCTGATCTAAGGGTGTCTTGGCAGGGTACTAAACCCCCGTGTGGGAATCTGTTGGTTTATTTCCTTTTTTCATTGCTATGGAGGGGAAAAAAAAAAAATCTGGCAAGAGGTTTTATTTTAACTAGTTCAGAGTTGTTTAAAAAAAAAAAAAATCCTTGCCAGGATTCTGCTGAAGAAAACGTACAGAGTCAAACTTTCTGCAACACAACATTTTATTTATTGACGGTTCCTTGCAGGTGGAATTGAATTTCTGGGCTTGAAGCATAATCTCTCTTCCAAATGGATTGAACAAACCATGCTGGGGTTTTTTTTTTTAAGGGGGGGGGGTTTGCCTTTATAAGTGAGAGGAGAGAAACACATATATTAACCACGCTTGTCTTGGTGATAGGTTATGTCAGCCCTTCTGTCTCGGAAATATCCTCTCGGTTTTGTGAGTGCCTGTCCCATTGGGAGCGCGTGGCTGTCTTCCACATGCGGATACTTCTTCATAATTGGAAAATGTGTCTGGGCTATGCTACGGAAATCCGAGCCTGATTGGGTTGCCCTGTTTCAAAGGGAGTAGCAGCAGGCCAGGGCAATCCTACGTTGCATTAATAGAGGGATAGAATCAAAATCAAAATCAAGCGTTAGTGCCACTTTATAATGTGTTGGTCAGGCCTAATGCTGGGAAAGATGGAGGGCAAGAGAAGAAGGGGACGACAGAGAAGGAGATGGCTGGATGGAGTCCCTGAAGCAGAAGGTGTGAGCTTCAATGGACTCCAGAAGATGGCAGAGGACAGGAAGGCCTGGAGGAGATCAACCCCGACTGCTCTTTAGAAGGCCAGATCCTGAAGTTGAAACTCAAATACTTTGGCTACCTAATGAGAAGGAAGGACTCCCTGGAGAAGAGCCTGATGCTGGGAAAGATGGAGGGTAAGAGAAGAAGGGGACGACAGAGAAGGAGGTGGCTGGATGGAGTCTCTGAAGCAGGAGGCGTGAGCTTCAATGGACTCCAGAAGATGGTAGAGGACAGGAAGGCCTGGAGGAGATCAACCCTGACTGCTCTTTAGAAGGCCAGATCCTGAAGTTGAAACTCAAGGACTTTGGCCCCCTAATGAGAAGGAATGACTCACTGGAGAAGAGCCTGATGCTGGGAAAGATGGAGGGCAAGAGAAGAAGGGGACGATAGAGAAGGAGGTGGCTGGAGGGAGTCCCTGAAGCAGGAGGCCTGAGCTTCAATGGACTCCAGAAGATGATAGAGGACAGGAAGGCCTGAAGGAGATCAACCGTGACTGCTCTTTAGAAGGCCAGAAGTTGAAACTCAAGGACTTTGGCCACCTAATGAGAAGGAAGGACTCACTGGAGAAGAGCCTGATGCTGGGAAAGATGGAGGGCAAGAGAAGAAGGGGACGACAGAGAAGGAGGTGGCTGGAGGGAGTCCCTGAAGCAGCAGGCGGGAGCTTCAATGGACTCCAGAAGATGATAGAGGACAGGAAGGCCTGGAGGAACGTGGTCCATGGGGTCGCGATGGGTCGGACACGACTTCGCAACTAACAACAACAACAGGCCCCACTTAGAATTCTGCATCCAGTTTTGGTCGCCACGATATAAAAAAAGATGCTGAGATTCTGGAAAGAGTGCAGAGAAGAGCAACAGAGATG